CTCCAGTAGGCTTTAGTCCACTCTGGGGCCGCCTCAGCTCGGTTCGAGGCGGGGTTCTGCCGGGTGCCCCCCGGGAGGCCTGAGTCCCTCCTACAGCCGGCCAGGCTTACCCCGGCCTCTGGCGCCACCTGGTGGGAGCCCTTGGGCACCGTCTGCCTCCTGGGCCCAGAGCGACTGGCGACGACTCCTGCGACTCTGGTGGGCTCACGTGAGGGTGAGGGAGCCTGGAAGCCACAACGAAGGTTGAGGGCAGCCCTCATCACGGCCCCGAACCAACCTAGGGGCACCTAGGGGCATCGTCCTGGTCACATGGAACCTTCCAAACGGACCAACTTCGCTCCATCCCAGCTTCAGAGTCATCTTCACCAAAGCTGGGGGCAGTAGAGCTAGTGAAAGCCCCAGTGGCCAAGTCTCATGCTGCCCTCACCCCAGGCTGCTCATAGGCGGGCCCACCGCAATCCCAGCAGATGGGAACCCCGGCTTCAAATGCCTTGCCCTATCTTCTCTGGGTCTTCTATAGGGTTCCCATAAGGGAAATGGTATCCAACACCTTCCAGTGGGGTGGGAGGGGACTTCAAATAATTATTTGCTGCCCTACAATATTAACAAAATTTTACAATCAGAAAAAAAATTAAGTGTTTGAACCAGTGTTGAACCTGCCTTGCACTAGCCACAGGACATGGATGCTTGTCCTCTTTGGGCCTTAATCACCTTACCTCATGATGGTGATCAAGAAGGTAAGCAAAGCAGGAAAAGAGTTAAGTCATTAGTCCACTATTATTAAGATATAGTGATCTATAGAGAGGCGTGATCCTCACCCTCAAAAAACTGGCACTAGAGGGGGGCCTTCCATGCTTTAGAGGAGCTGGGAAGGGCCTCTCCCAGGAGCTTGTTTAGCCTGGGAACAAGTGGAGGCCAGGCTGGGGGCTGCAATAGGATGAGTCATGTGGAGTCTTCCCACCATACTAATGGGTATTCTGGGCTGCCCAGGAACTCCTAGACATCCCAATATTTCCCGCCAACAGCCTTGGGCCAGGCCTTTACATTGGGAGAGAATGCAGATCTTTCTAGCCTCACTTAGATTCTGTCCCTTCTATAGGCAGACGTGTTTGGAGTGGCTCTTTATCCTAATTCCCAGGGTCTCAGAACCCTTTGGAGATCAGCGCTGTCCCCCACCTTACAGATAAGGAAGTCAGGCCAGAGGGATCCCAGGAACTTGCCCTTGATCAGAGGCAGGTGGGAAGGCAGATTCCTGTGGGTGTGTCCCCTCCCCAACTGTGTCCCCTCCTTCCTGCCCCTTTCTTCCACCACCCTCTCTCCAGTTCAGAAGACCTGAGTACAGTCCCACTCCTACCAAGGAGTTAGAGAGACTTTGTGGGAGTGCTGGGGAGCAGGGGTCTTCCAGTCCAAATATCAGATATTCCCAAAGAAGAGGCCAGAGGCCCTTGTGGCTTCTCTTCTTCCTGACCCTGCTGAGCTTACCATTCTCTGCTGAAACCAGGGATCCCTTTGGTTGAATTCAAAGCAGTGAGTCCACTCATAACCCAGTGGCTTCAGGTTAAACATTAAACAGAACTTCCTGAGGCCAAGAGAGCAAGGGCAGGGTTATTTCCTGGGCCCCTGCTGCTAGGACTAGGGGGTGAAGCATGTGTCCCTGAACCAGGGACAGCCTTTTCTCGCACTTATCATTGTGGTATTCCACAAGTAGTTGTTGGAACTCAGCTCCACCTACAGTGAGACTGGTCTCAGCTCCAAGTCTTGAAGATTATGAGCAGAGAAACAGCCTGGGGGCTATAGGTGGAGATAGTGAGGACCCCGGGGGCGGGGGGGGGGGGGGGGGGGGGGGGGGGGGGGGGGGGGGGGGGGGGGGGGGGGGGACGAGCAAGCCCAGAAGAGGTACCAGCTGTTCTGTGACCAATGGCCCCTGATCCTGCTACTGGACACAGCTGCTATGTCCCCTGCTTCCCACACCCTGGGCAGTGTCCCAGGACAACCCAGCCTTTTCCTGGGCACTGAGTCATGCTAAGCCTACCCAGCTGGTCTGTCCATCCTGGGCAGGACACATAGGGGCAGGCCCCCAGTATCTCTGGGCCCCACCAGGGCATAACAGTGTGGCCAGAAACCATTCTCCCCTTCTTCCCACTAAAAAGCGAAGGCCAAACCTGCCTTGAAACTACCTAGGAGACTGGCCAGCCCCAAGCCCACAAGACAGTTGGGGCAAGAGCAGGGGTGGCATTGCAGGGGGCTTACTCACTCAGGGGCAAACAGCCTATGACAGGCAGGACCTTTCCCACCATCCTGCCAGATAAGGAAGCTGAAGCTCTGCTCACTCAGGCATTAGAGGGGCTAAGGAGGGCTCATGTGTTAGCAGAGCTCTGGGGCACACTCTCACCCCTCCCAGGGGCACAAAAATGGTAAGGTTATGGAGGCTATCAGGTTAGCTGCTCGAAGACCACCTCCAAGTCCTCTGAATGGGCGTGGATGGGTCCTCTCTTCCCTCTGTCAAATGGACATCAGTCCCACACCCCATTCACATCCTAGAACAATGTAGGGGCCAGGGAAATAGATGCTTGGAGGCAATGGCATTGTAATAAAGACACTGCTTTTATTTAGTTTGATATGTTTCTATACAGAATGCAGAAAACACATCTTAAAATCATACAGAAGGAAATAAAAACATGTCAGTGGTTGGTGAACACTTGAATGCGAGATTGGCTCTCTGTCTCACAGAGTCCAACGGCCGTCGCCAGCCCGGCGCTCAGGGGAGGAGGCTGCCTGCAAGGGCATTGTTGCTGTTGTTATTCTGTTCACTGCCCCATCGCCTCCAGTTGCTATGGCAACAGGCCATTCTGGGCCAGCCACATCTCTGCGTGGCAGTGCCCGATGGTGGGGTTGCTAGGAGCAACGGAGCTGTTTGGAAAGCCTTTCAAAGCCCTCACCTGGAACACTGGGAATTGTTTATTTTTTGACGAGGTCATCAAAAATAATCTCACCAGGTCAGACCCTGCTTGTGCTCCTGACTCTGGGCAGTGGGGAAGAAACTCTGGCTTGGATCAGGGCTCAGAGGCACGAGACCCAGTCACCAGAGGTCCACTGAGCCCTCATCAACAGGCTCTCCCAACTGGGGCACTGCTCACTTGAGTACCCCACCAGGGGCTGAGCAGGGGAGAGAGGCTGGGCCCTGTGGGAAAAGGTGCAAAGGGAATGCCCTTCTGAGAAGGGCAGGCTGGAGACCCCTCCTCTCTGACCGGCCCTCCCCTCCTGAGGCAGCACACACAAATCCTCTGCAAAACTGTCGATATGGCTTAGAAGTGGCTGCTCGGTTTGCAAAGGGAGTCTGGGTCCACCCACCAGCCTTCGATCAAGGAAGGGAAACATTATTGCAAAAGGCATTCCTCCCTAAAAGGTACCCAAAATAACCCTTAGACATCAAGAAAAGTCATGCTTAAAATGGTTTCTTCCAAAGGAGGAGAATCAAAGCAGAGTGGGCACCCCTGAGTCATGGGACAGAGATGCAGATGGACGGACGGACGTTCTGCTAAAAAAGGCAAAAGAAGCCCAGTGTAATTCCAGAATTTAAACTGTTACGAAAAGAAGGGGAAAAAAATCAAAATGAGCAAAGCCATCAGTTCCATGGAATCAACACTAAGAGCTTGTACAAACTGCTGTAAGCATCACCGTTTTTAATCTTTTTTTTTAATAAAACAATTTGAGGCTGTATAAAAACTTTAGTAAAAAATTAGCTTTGAGAGCCCACAGATTTTTACTATGAACTATTGCTGGCACTCCTCCCCAGCCACCAGACCTCTCCCAGCCCAAGGCCCGGAACTGGAGTGCCAGAGAAGAGGGGTGGGGTGGGACAGGGTGGGGCTGTGGACTGTTGGGACAAAGCGGCCAAGGTCAAGTGAGGAAAGAGCATCACATGACATAAAAATATTGCATCTTCACCAAAATGTCCCCCACTGAGTGTTTCAGAAGCCATGATATTCCTTTTAGGAAGGGGAAAAAAAAACACACAGAAGAAGGGTAAAAGAAAATAGGTTGATGTGGTCGAGTCCCTCGACCTCCCCAGCCACCCCTCCACGAGCAGCTGGCCCACCCTGGAGCACCTAGGTTGGGGGCCACGGCCACCACTGCCTCTTAGGAGTCCTCTTTCCATGGAAATGAAGACCCCTTGGTGGGGGGCCACCAGCGTGCATGGGGTAGGGGTGTGGATGTCCACGGCCAGGAGGCCCCTCTGGCTTCCAGCCCCTGGCAACAGCGGGAGAGCAAGCCCAGCACCAGGACCCTGGCCCCAGAGCCAGGGCCAGGAGGCCCCCAGTCAGGCTCCGGGGTATCAGAGCAACCAAGTTTACATAGTGTGAAAAAATAGGATTCCTTTGATAAAAAATACTGTCCCTTGGTCTTCTCTAAGTTTGAAACACCCTGGGAACTTATTTTTAGCAAAGCAATTTCCCATACCCACCCAAAAATTATACATACAAGTTTAGGTAAACAGCAGATTAAATGTAAAAACTTAACCTTAACTTCTGAAAGTCCTTTGAATTTAATCTTTAGCTACTGTTTTCCATGTTACATCCTGCAGCTAGACACACGTGAATAGAAAAAACAGTACAGTTAGTGTTAAAGGCAAAACGCAGAGAGCCGGGAAGCTGCCCGGCACTGCCTGCGAGTTCATTCACGGCTCCGCTCCATCTACCTCTACTCCAAACAGTGCTTTCAGAGCCAGCCATCAAAACCGCAGCGAAGAATTTTCTATGAACAAACAAAAAGCTGTTAGGCAAAAAATAAAAGTAAAAATGTCCCCAAAGCCTCTCCAGCTGCTTTGGGGTTTAGGAGGACCAGAGAGGGCGGGCTTGTCCAGGCCTCGCGTCAGTGTGTGCTAGGTCAGGTGTCGGCTCCCAGTGGGCGATGGTCTGCAGGCCACCGGTCTCCACAGACAACACCGTGTTGTCTCCAGGGCCCTGCCCTACCCCTGCCTCCACCCAGGCGCTTGTGGGTTAAGGGGGCACGTAGGGAGGGGGCGACCGGTATGGGGTCATGTTCTTGGGACGAGAGCCCTTGCCCTCCATGGGGGCCGTGAAGGGTGGGGGGGGCTGGTAAGGAGGCGCATTGGGATCCTCATCCCGCAGGGGCGTGTACTCTCCCACGGTGTCCTGGTTCAGAGGAGTGGTCTCGGGCACGCTCTGGTTGGGGTACTCAGGAGGGGGGAGAGGGGCTTTCTCCTCCTGCAGGATAAGTGGCATGCTGGAGGAGGGTGGCGGCTTGGAGTCATCCAGCTCGTCCGCAAAGATGATAGGCACCCCCTTCTTGATGAAGGTGGCCTGGTCCTCGAGGGTGAGCTTGCCCTTCCGCTTCTTTCGATAGCAGATCATGGCAATGATGCCGGCAATGAGCAGGATGGCTGCAACCACCACGGCTGGAATGACCGTGTGCAGGTAAACGTCATCCTCACTGCTCTTCTCAGGGTCCCTATCCGGCACGTCTGTGGGCGGTGCCTCTGAGGGCACCCTCTTGGGTGGTGCCACAGGGATAAACTGTAGATGCCGGCAGCTGCCTGAGCCTGTCACAGCAATGCTCGTGGCCTTGAAGTCAGGCTCCAAGGCGTTGGAGAAGGCAGCCCGAGGTTTCCCGTCATCTTCAGCAATCCTCCGGCTCAGCCCCATGATCCGCTCCTTGGGGCAGGGCTCCAGGGGCAATGTGTTGTTGGTCCACTCCACCACGATGGAGCCCCGGGTGATATTCTGCAGAGTGATGGTGCTACAGTTGCGGTCCCCAAAAGCAAAGGCTAGCTTCTTCACCAGGGCGATCTTCTTGTGGATGTCATTCACCACTGGTGCTGGGTCACCCATAAACTTGGCCTTGAACCGTGCAGGAGCCCTGTCTCCTTGAGGGCGCTTGTGGACATGGATCTCAAAAGCATCCACAGCTGATAGGCCCCCTTTGTCTGTGGCGTGCATAAAGTACTCGTGCTTGCCCACGTGGCTGCTGTCAGGCAGGCCATACATGAGCTGGCTGTTGCTGTTGAACTGTACCCAAGACTTCTCACCTACCAGCTGCTGCTCCCGAAGCTTCAGAGTCAGTTTCAGCTTATCAGTGGTGGTGTCCTCATTGTCATAGAAGGTGTCTGATGGGATCTTCACCTCAAAGTAGGTGCCAACCCAGGCATCGACCCTGTCGATATGGTTCTTGAGCTCTGGCCGCTGGTTGGGTTCTGCTCCACGGGGAACCCCACTTGTGGTGGTGCGGATGCGAGTAGGCGGGGAGGCGGTTTCCAATCTGGTTATGGGAACTTTGGTGGTGACCCGTGGCACCGGGCGGGGCGTCCGTGGCTTTTTGGTAGGCCTTCGAGTTGTGGTGGTTGAGGAGTCAGTAGAAGGCGTGGCTGGTTTTGGTGTGGATATTCGTGGCTTCTTGGTGGTAGTCGTGGGAGGGGTGGCGACTGCTGTAGGCTCCACATAGCCAGGAATGGTCATCGTTGGGCGGATCTGGCCAGGAACTGTGGTGCCAGCTTCTGACACCCGAGTGGGCTGGATGGGGCCTAAGGTTGGGGTCTGAATAATGGCACCTCGAGTCCGAATGGTGACTGTGGGCTTTCCAGGAACAGGATCTCTGACTGGAGGAGCCATGGTCTCTGTTGGAGGAGCAATGGCTGGAGATGTGGGGGTAGGCACAATCCTGGATGGTGGCTCCTGGATGGCCGTGGTTGGAGGCCCAATGGCAGTGACAGGTGTGGGTGTGGCATGGATCTGCCTCCGGATGCGTTTGGGAAGAGGGGGCTTCTTGTTGGCTATATGCCAACCCACCACAGGGTAGCCAAGCTGGGCAGACATAGTGCCCTCTCTGGCAGGGGCCTCCACACCACGAATATCAGGCACATTGTTCTGGTTCAGGGAGCAGCCCAGCTTCCAAGAGAGGAGGGCCCCATTCTCTACCACCTTTTTCGCATTTCCTGGGCCAGCCATGAAGGCTGACATGTCAAACAGTCTATTATTCACCACTGGTACCAACTTCATGTTGTGAAGCTCCACTTCTGAGAAGCTCTGCATCCTGTGCAGGAGGTCAATCCTTTGCTTTGGGGTCATCTTGGTGAGGTCAGCATCCAGAATGACCGTCAGAACAGTCACAGGCTCATCGGCAGCACAGGTAGATGACACCACCTCAGCAGGGTCTGGTGATGCCGCCCGCACAGACTGCGGCTCACAGTGGTCTTCAGGGTATACCTCAATAGAGAACACGCTGGAGGTCTGGGGAACATGGCTCCCATTGGCCCCCAGCCGTGCAGTGCTCACTGAAATGTAATGCACACCCTTATCGGTGTCAAGAGGGAGGCCCTCCAGGGTGTGGCTCTGTGGGTCCCAGTGCAGCCAGGATGGCAGGGCCTCCTTCCCTGCTGTGGACACCTAAAAGAGATACCAGCATGAGTTAAGTGGTACTGTCAATGAATAACCTGACAATGATCACAACAGTTCATCATGGACCCAGCCTGAATTGTGTGACAGGCTTAAGGTAGAATTGAGAATTTCTGCTGGGGGGGGGGGGGGAACCAATTCCTCTCTTGGAGCTCTCATTCACCTGTCACGAAAGACTGGGGCTGCCAGATAGGCTAGCTTGGAATGCAAATGATTTGCCCAAGGCCACACTGTGGGGAGACAGCAGTGGTGGCACTCAAACACGCGTCTCATCCCAGAGAGCAGATGCCATGGAGCTCAAGAAATGTTGCAGGTTTTTACAACAGTGATATATACCCTGCCACCTACTTACCCACTTGGCTTGCAGAATCAGGTGCAAGTGTCTCATCCCTCAGCACTCCTTTCAACCTCATCTCAGCCTTCTCCCTGCCCTCTACAGACACAATTTTGCTCAAGTCGTATGCCCTTCCTGCCCAGGGTGGAAATGCATGTGGGCCTGGGTGCAAGAGACAGCTCAATGTCTCCAGATGCCTCAACTGTACAACCACGTCAGTGGGACGTGCGTTCAAGTAGAGTGGGATGCATTTGGATAGCAAATACAGTTAGCGGTATCTAATGTTTGGTGTTTTGTTTTTTTTTTAAAGTAGGCTTGGGGCGCCTGGGTGGCGCAGTCGGTTAAGCGTCCGACTTCAGCCAGGTCACGATCTCGCGGTCCGTGAGTTCGAGCCCCGCGTCGGGCTCTGGGCTGATGGCTCAGAGCCTGGAGCCTGTTTCCGATTCTGTGTCTCCCTCTCTCTCTGCCCCTCCCCCGTTCATGCTCTGTCTCTCTCTGTCCCAAAAATAAATAAACGTTGAAAAAAAAAAAAAATTTAAAGTAGGCTTCACGCCTAGCACAGAGCCCAACGCGGGGCCCAAACTCATGACTCTGAGATCAAGACCTGAGATGAGACCAAGAGTTGGATGCTTAACCAACTGAACCACCCAGGTGCCCCTGTATATAATGCCTTAATTAACCCTGCTTTTTAAAACTCAAGAAAAATTGCAACACCCAGGGTTAGGTACTGGAAACAATTATTCTGGAAGTGTTTATCAAAGATTCCAAGGAGCTCTGGCCTAAGGGAGAGTTCTATAGTCAACTTAAGTTTGGGAAATCTACAGAACCCATGTCTGACCTTGGAGAGCCCAGTCACAAAGGCAGGCCTGAGGAGCTCACCCCTTATTCCACCCAATAGCACCTCCCAGGTGCTCCTATTTTAGGGTAGAAGTCCATTTCTAAAGGGGCATGACTGGTAATAATCAAGGTACGCAAAGGAATGCTGCCAGAGAAATTTCAACCATCAGTTGACAAAGGGAAACAAGACTTGCCTCTTGCCCAGGCCCTATCCACAATTACTCTCACCTTTAGGAAACACCTATTCCTGCCCCCAATGCCAGAAAGGTGGCACCCACTCTCTGATCTAACCAAAGGCACTCTTAGCTCCACTATACCATTCCACTAAGCTCAGAGACAACACTGGCCAACAGACATGTCTTACTGCTAGCCTTGGCACCAGGAATTGTCCTTCATGGCCATTGCTTGTCAGCAGAGGGATAATAAAATGTTTCTCTTCCCACAGCAGGAAGACCAGAGTCATGCCTGCAGGGCTCCATAGGGGCTCTGGTTCCTCAGGCTTCTTCCCGCCAAGAGTCAGGTACCTGATTGGGAAGGAGACCCAGAGCTCATACCTGATCTTCCCAGCCAGGACCCAGTGTTCAGGCAGCAAGTCATTCCACCAATCTTATCAGTGACCAGATACTTACCTCCCTATAAACAGATTTCCTACTTCCAGCAAAAACCCATGAAAAGACATCAGACATTATTAGAAGTTACTATTATTGGGGTTGTCCTTTACTGACTGCTGTCTGAGCCACTGAGATTACTGAGGGTATACGAGCAGCTTTTTACACGCCCCCCCCCCCTCCACCAATGTTTATTCGTTTTTGAGAGAGAGAAACAGAGTGCGAGTGGAGGAGGGGCATAGAGAGAGAGAGCAGGACACAGAATCCGAAGCAGGCTCCAGGTTCTGAGCTGTCAGCACAGAGCCCGACGCAGGGCTTGAATCCAAGAACTGTGAGAACCTGAGCCAAAGTTGGGACGCTTAACTGACTGAGCCACCCAGGCGCCCCTGTGAACAGCATTTCTTTTGTGACCACTATCTAATTAATGCACCACTAAGAACCCCCCTTCCTGTCCTTCACCATCCACTGCAAACACAGTGGTAAAATATCTGAAATGGTAAAATATCTGTAAATATGGGTATCTTGAAATCCATGAAAAATGCTAAATATATTTTTCCTTTAAAACCTTTTTTAGCTACAAAAATACTTACTTCAAATGTTTTGCTTAAAAGTCTATGCTTCACTTTTTTTTCAGTTATATTAAATATGAAAACTGTCACATCCATATATAAACATATAAAGCAAAGGCTAAATGTCTCATTTTGCAAAAAACAGGAAGCAAATCTTAAAGGCCTAAATAGAGTAGTCAGGGAACCATGAGATGTTTTACAAAGGTGGGGTATGACTTATGGCCCTGAGAGGCAGACAGTAGGTGAGCCAGAGTATAGCCTGGTTTCCAGCCACTCCATTATGTTTCCTAACCCCATTCCATCCCAATGGCCACCACTGGGATGAGAGCACACCTAGCAGAGGGAGGGCCTAGAAAAGAGCTCAAGGTGAAGTCATCCAAGGAGAAGTCACCTGTAGAGAAGACCAAACAGAGCCAGGAGAGACCAGGATAGGCTCTGGAAGTGGGTACCAACTGGCTGGCCAGGCCCCTGGGACATTCCTGAGTAGCCAGGCATCTGTGCCTGTGCCCAGCCCTATGTATTCCATCAGCACAGATGAGTACATAGCCCAGTGCTTTTCCAAGTCTCTCACTAGAGATACAAGGGCACTTTATAACAGAGAAAACAGAGAAGGGCCCCACCTCCTCAAGCTTCCCAGCCTGGCTCAATTCCTCTTCTGCTGACCCCAAGGGCCACAGCTCTGCTGCCAGACATTTCCTAAGGAATAAGCCCCAAGCCACTCTTCGGCCAAGGTTCCCACACAGCCACTGTTGGAATACGTATACTTATTTAAACTATGCCAACTAACATTATCACACGTTAATAACATATAATAGCCTCTCCAACCCACATTCCTGCCTTCCTTTCTGCAGATTCTGGCTCCTCAGGATCCTGGGGTGCTAGCCATGCCCCGGCCACAGGACAGGTGTCCAATGTGGATCTCTAGCCCTAAAGCAGGCAGTCCCCAGGGCCTTAGGTACTCCTCATACAGGAAGGAAAGGTACCAAACTGAATGGTCTAAAATCCATGCATCTCTGAGCATCCTGGTACTGGGAATGTCAGGCCCAGGCAGCACTTTGGGTGGCAATGATTTGCTTTAATAAAGGGCCACATGAAGCAAAACAAATGAACTCCACAAGGAACCTAGCCAAGTCACAGGCAAGCTGGCATCTCTGTATTCTCAAGGCTATTTGGGGAAAGCCCCTGAACTAGGAAGTCTGAACATGCCTCAAGGTCTGGCACTGTCCACAGACCCTGAAGGATTCCACTAACAGCCCCTTGCTCCTGAGGGCACCCAGTTCAGGGAATGCTCTGTAATGCAGCACCTGCTCTACGCTGACAAAGCAGGAGGCCTTCAGCCCATGGGAATTCCACACATCCTTCCAAGCTTTCAAAACTTCCAGGCTCTACACACTTTTTCTCTTAAGGCCTAAGGGCGAAGCAGGTTATAAAAGTTACTCCTGAGAGATGCTGCCCCTACGACAAGCCAGGACTCTTCCTATAACAGCAGATGATCTGACAAGAAGCCCCATCTCCAGGAGTCCTTGGCTGAACTCCAGCTCCAGCTAGGCTGAGGCTTGACCCAACCTCAGCCTCAGTTTTCTCATCTGCAAAAAGAAGAAAATTATGCCATCATTTGCCACAATCACAGGGCCAGGCACACATTGGATTCTCTGTGGGTGCTGGTTCCCCGCACACTCCTGGGCCGAGAGAGGACCCAGTATGTATTGTGAGGCATCTGCACTGACAGGTCCAGGGTCCACTCCCAGTCTTCCTTCTGGCCTTGGACCCAGCATACACTGTGGCCATTTCTCCCTGTTCATCCCCCAGAGCAGAAGCTCAAAGCATCAAAGGGAAGTGGGGAGGCTACAGGAAGGGGAAGCCAGGATCCTTCCTACAGGGGAACAAAGCCCAGGGACCCTCAGGGACTTGCTTGCCTCTTAAGACCTATCTGTCAGGAGTGGATGAAAACCCTGAGGGGTGTGGGGTAGAGGAGAACTTGTTGCAGGGACAACCCAAAGACCAGCATCCAGCTCTTCAGTCTCAAACAGGGGTGCTCCATCCTGATACATTTGCACATGAGATTCTCACTAACCTTAGAGATACTCATAGGAAGATTTCTGCCCTAGCTGTCTCCCATCCAAGTACTAACCAGGCCCGACCCTGCATAGCTTCTGAGATCAGACGAGATTGGGCACGTTCAGGATGGTATGGCCATAGACTCTGCCCTAGCCGTACCACCTACAACTAACCCTTAATGGCTGCCATACTAGGAATGGCAGACAAGAGGCAGAAATCAGAGCTCTTGTGAGCTGCTCATCAGTGCCAGCACATATGTTTGGGTGACAGGCTGGTCCAGGCCATGGAACTCCCCCAGGGTTTCAGGTCACTCAGCCAAAATACCAACACTGTCTTTGAGTTGGGGGAGGCAAGGCCTGCTGGCCTTATGAAGCAGCCACCTTGGAAAGAAGTCTTCAGGCTGTTAGTGGGAACACCCATAGGAGGCAGAAACTGCAGGAGGAAGGCTGAAGATCACAGGCTCTAGCTTACAGGCTCACATAGAAATAGCCAGAAATCTTTCAGCAACCCTCAGAAAGGACACGCTTCTGAGATGGAAGGCAAGCCCACCAGTGAGGAAAACAAGATCTCCAATAGCCATACACGGAGTTTTAGAACTCTTGATCCAGGGGCGCCTAGGTGGCTCACTCAAACATCTGACTTCAGCTCACGTCATGATCTCACAATTCGTGAGTTCGAACCTGACATCATTGTTCCGCACTGGTAGCGTGGAGCCTGCTTGAGATTCTCACTCTCCCCTCTCTCTCTGCTCTTCCCCTGCTTGCACTTTCTCTTAAAATAAATAAATAAACTTAAAAAATAATAATAAAAAAAGAAGTATTGATCCATAAAGTGCATCCAAAAACATTAAGAATCAAAACCACAAAACTTGGGCAGACCCATATGGAGTTCCAAAGGTTACCCAGCAATACCCACAATGAACCACCACAACTAATGACTGGGGAACTGACAAACATGAAGGTTCTGGCCACTCTTTAGTCTA